AGAGAGAGAGAGAGAGAGAGAGAGTCATCTAATGAAGTAAAACACTTTTTTCACTTTATCACATAAAAAAATAGTGTTTGCAAATTTTAAATTCAATGGTTCTTCAATATTCATGATAAACAACTACTTTTTAGCATCATCAAGGAAAATATTGCCACAGAACTGCATTTATTAGTCAAAGTACTAGAAAGAAGTCGACCTGTGTGGGGTGGGTGTGGAATGATAATGAATTTCTCCTGATGAGTAACTACCCCTTCACTCAGCCGCGGGGTTATTGTGCGCCTGCTTCCATGTTAGCATTTATTGTGATGCTGAGGACAAACAAGCCACTTCTGTGCAATCATTAAGGTGTGTTTTCCCTCCTGATTGATGTGTGGAATCAATTGCTCCCCATAGCATCCATGTCAGTCTATTACACCGCAGCCCAGTAATGACAGGCTGCTCTGCTCAAGATTATAGAGCATCGTCACAAAGCAGCAAAAACTTGCTTCCCTTTCTCTGACCTGGGTTTTGATCAGTGAAAATGGCTTTATTTTTTACTCTAACAAAAAAAAAAAGAAAAATTGCTACTCGGAGCGTGGTTTTGTAATAATAATTAAAGAATCGCTGTAATACATAAAAARCAATTACAGCTTCAAAATAAAAGCACATATCTGGTCAGAATTCAGGTTTTTGCTTTCCAATGCAACCATATTTGAGGTCTTCAAAACAACAGGTGTTTCTCCCCTCAAAATGCCCCCTTGTGAGTAACTGTCCTTTTTTGTTGTTGTTGTTTTTTGTCATGTTAATACACTGCCAAGCTGACTTCCATCCAAACCTCCAAGTGCCAGCAGCACTGCAACTCCGAGATGCATAGAGCCGCCCTGAACCTGATTACACATGATCAAAGTCACATTTTTCAACAATTTGATTATGTTTTAGAGCTTGAATGAGATCAACATGCCGGCTGCTGCAGTGCTCCTCTGAAACAACTAATTGAAAAGACTTTTTAAGCGTTTGCTCGGTTTGATGCAGCAATTGCCGTTTCCCTCAGGTTGACCTCCATCRCTGGAGTGGGACTACTGTATTTAATTACCTACAGTGAATTCGATTATCAGGAAATATGGTGCATATCAAGTGAATCCCTGCCTTAAGATACGTATTAGTTTTCCTGTAGAAAGTTGGAAAACACGTAAACTTGAGTCAAGACAAAAGGCAGCGGCTAATGAGACTGGTTAGTGATTCAAATTTATGGAAATTTCATTAATTACACAAACCTATCTTTCATCTGTACCATTTGGTGGTGGAGTAATTAAAAGCAACAATGGCGGTCCCCGCAGCGGAGGAACCAAACAAGATCAAAGAAAACGGAGCGGTGAGGAGTAAGTCCTGTGGATCCTGAACCAGGCCTGGCCGTGGGCAACATGGCCCTCATTAAAGCCACGCCGTGTTGATCATCAATTAACCTGCTTTGTTTTGCTTCTGATTTAAAACTTGAACAACAACACTTCTCTGCCGGTTGGAAAGTTTACGCCGGAGGTGATAAAGGTTCATCAGAAGTGTTGAGTTTGGGGCTTGGAGGGACGACGTGTTAATCAGCAAAAGGAAGGTTGACCTACATCTCTTTTTATCGGCTGGTAAGTCGTAAGAAAATTYAAAGATCTTGCATCTAAACTGGAATCTGCTCTTATTATCGTTATTTGAGGATTGGAAAAGAAAAAATTGAATCATGCAAGTTTTTTTCTGCTGTCTGATGTTTCCACTAACAGTGACATTTGAAAAAAATGAATTAATATTTCACAACGTCTCAGATTGAATTATTTTTTTGGTTAAAAAAAAAAAATACTTGGTCAGAGTGAAAACATCCCATTTATGAGCTTGATTAAATTTGGTGGCTTTGATTCTTGGAGATCAAAGTGTAATAATCTGTCGTTTTAGTGCTGAGGGAATTATTCACATGTAAAGCCAACTTTTGATTTGCCTGGTGCTTCTTACAAAAAAATAAAAGGGTGAAAGATTATGC